GTTTGTGACACTTGCCTCAGACTGGGTCCAGCCTGGGTTCGAGGATTCCGAAAATTAGAGGTGTGCTGCAACATGACCACGTATCATTTAGACGGTCTGCCACAAAACCAGCTCACCAAGCATTGGAAGGTCGACGTGACTCGCTGATAATCGTTCCCGAACGAACGAACAATACGTTTCTTTACTGTAACAAGAGTGACTTTACATAGAGAGTATAGGGACTAGAATCCATGAGGACTGCTTTTAGATCCATAGAATGGCTGCGGTTTTCGATTCAGAGGGAGGAATTAACCAAATATTTACGATACACGGAAAAAAATAGGGTAGTCGACACAACCAACGGCTGGTTAAAAATGCGCCAGCTACCGTGCGGTAGTTACGATAACTACCGCGGTGGAGGTCACAACTAACCCGGTAGTTACATCAACAACCATGGATGTTATGGATGGTAACGACATATTTGGTTTCACATTTGGTTGGAAGAAACTCCGTTTTCACTTGTACACCATACATCGATAGTGGAAGTTGAGAATATGCATTGGGCGCCTGCCAATGAGGTGTGAGCGCGAGACGCACTGCACCCACTGGGTGGTGATTGGCTACCACCAAAGTGACCAATGAGGGCTGAGCGCAAGACGCGGTGCACCAACTGGGTGGTAATTGGCTACTGCCACACGCATATTTCTAAGTCTCCGTTGGTCTGCTACCCATTTAAAGGATGGCATTTTTAATTCATTTATTTTTCTATGCAAAATGATGCTGGATATCCACGTTCGAAAATTTCAGAGAGCATTTTACAAAACACTTTTTTTTTTTTTTTTTTTTTTTTTTTTTTTTTTTTTTACATTAAAAAATTACTAGCGAGGGTTCCGAGAGAGAATGTTCACATGCTTTTCTTCGACAAGAAAATGGTGTAAGATTCCTCCACGTCACCTGTCGTGATTTTTTGTTTTTGAAATTCACTATCACTATAGTACAACATAAAAACTAATTTTTGAAAATGAGCTGAATGCAAAGGAAAAATAGATAACTCAGTTTATACCCCCGAGGAACGCTTGAGGAACTTTAATTACTTACTGTTTCAACGTGACAACCAATTTGTTTTGAAAACATTGCGAATTCAGATCAGAGTGATACAGGATTCTCATCATGGGTATGATTTTACGCGTAGATACGGAGGCAGGAGGAGGAGAGGCAAAATGTATGTTGATGCACCGGTCGATAAACTCCAAAGGATACGAATTGACTTCCCGGACGTTTTGAAAACCTCGGTTAGTGTGCCAAATTTATGAGGTTTTATCTGCTTTCTTGAGAAGAAACGATCAAGTTACGGATATATGGGGAAGAAAATATAGGTCAGAAAAACCTCCACACAATGTTCCATTTCGACCGTTCTATTCGATTCAAGCAACCGCAGTCTCGGCTCTGGTAACCGACCTTTCAGTTCATATACATGTCATTCAACCGTCCTCTCAACTTCTGGAAAGTTTGGTTGCATGGACTTTGAACATGTTTCCACGAATCGAGTAAAGCGATTACATGTATTGAAATGTAAGGTCAATAAAGGGCTTCGTTTAACTCTGCCATACTAAGGAAAAACGCCGTATGAGCATTTAAGCGTTGCCAAACTTCCTACTATAAATCACGCATTTTCAAAATATTTATAAACACTTTTCTTCCGATTTTTCTGAGAATGTCGCACGTAGTTTGATCTAAATAGTTCAAAAATTTCAAGGAAAAATATTAATAACTTCCTTCAAAAATAAACATTTTATCGGAGAAAATTTGGCAACTCTCGAATATTCATTCAGCGTTTTTCCTTAGCACGGCAGAACTGATTTTATAAAAAAAAAAAAACATTTTACCTCCGCGCGCCACGACTGAAGCTATTCTCATGCCTACACGTCTTGTGGATAGCACAAATATAGTTGCTCGTTCGTTAATATTTCATCATTAGGGCGGCAACACTGCAATTCACGGTCACTGGTCGCACGATCGTTTCCCTGAACAGGTAAGCTCGACAATCCCGGTTTCTCTTGGATAGTGCTTCTCCAGTGAGAATTTTACGGGTAAGCACTCCCGTGACGTCAACGGAGGATGATCCGAGCGCACCTGTCCTGGAATCTCGCGTGCTCTGGGCGCGGGTAAAAATCTGGGTTCGCGATGACATCATTGCTCGATGAATTTGGATTTCTGGACTCACGGTTGCTGCGCTCACAGTAAGGAGTATACCTAATGAGTTTGATGATACAGGAAGGTTACGCATGGTACGTAAGCGGAAAACAGTGGTTGCGATGTAGTTGCGAGAGAACACTTTTTAGTTGTACTACCGTGCTAAGGAAGAACACCGTTTGGACCTTCAGACGTTGTCGCGTTTCCTCCGGTATAAATTGAATTTATTAGTAAAATTGTGGATATTATTATCCAAATTTTTCAGACAGTTTTGTGCGCAATTTAATCTAAAACATCTCAAAATTTTAAGGAAAAATATGCATGAAATTGTCAAAACTCCATGTTTTATCAACGGAAATTTGGCAACTTTCGAATGTTCGTACGGTGTTTTTCCTCCGATATAAACCGAATTTATTGGGAAAATTGTGAATATTCTTCTCCAAGTTTTTCAGACAATTTTGTGCTCAATTTAATCTAAAATATCTTAAAATTTCAAGGAAAAATATTCATGAAATGGTAAAAAATACATGTTTTATCAAGGGAGATTTTGCAACTCTCGAATGTTTATACGGCGTTTTTTCTTAGCAAAGCAGTGTTACCGTCCATAACAAAACAAAAGGTGTCGCTCATTTTTCGCAAGTTTTGGATCCCCCCCTATAATATTTTTAACCATACTTCATGTGAGGCTTGGAACTGTCACACATCTACCGGTGCTAAACCCTCTTAAATAAGCCAAACCTACTTTTCTGATCTGTTTTGCACTGAAATCGACGTATAGTTCCAAAACATATCCTCCAAGATTGCAGTGCGACTGTTCAAGACCTTGACGAAAATTTGGACGACCGCAGCCCGTGTTTACACGTATTACTCAATCCGAGTGGTCGTTGACATACTTAATCAACTCGTCCGACTTGTCACTCAGGTGTCATTCTGCCAAATTCCATTCACTTGCCTCATACCTTCTGGCGACGTGAACTTGAATTTTAATCAAAATCGCTCGAAAATCAAGGTGATGGCATTCGTTGTTTTCCAACTTGCAGTTTATTCGCGATTTGCAAAAACAAGTTGGCAATCGGCAGCGACTGAAAAAAGGGCATTTTAAGACAACATGACGATGAGGCAATCTCCAGAAAAAGTCGCCTTCCTTCAAGATACAAAACAGGTTGCAGTTAAGCAGGTTAATTTATCACAGCTAAACTACCTTCGATTGTGCATCATTACGGTTTTGTGCCATTAAATAAATCGTAAAAGGCTGAGAAGATTTGATTGCGGATCGTGACCTCATAAACTTTAAAATGATTCCCTCATAAACATCAGACGTGTGAGGTATACTACTTTTATTTAAATGAATCTTCTTCGGTTCAGCAACTTGTATTTGCTTCCTTAATTAGGTATGCAGCATGCAACACTTACTTATGTGGTGTTCTTTTACATTCATACACATTAAAGTAATTTAAAACACACTAGTATATATTAACTTATCATACTTCCACGCAAAAAACGCTCACTGTGTTGAAAATGAACTTAAAAGTAATGAGAATAAAACGTTCGTTATTTACAGTACAATCAAAGAACTTCTCAAGTTCTCACCTCCGAGAAAAAGCCACGGGTATTCAAATAACGGTAATAAACGGGCACAGTATGAAAAGGAAATCTTAAAACCTGTGCTTTGATTTTCCATTTCTCATCTTGTCTGTTGATCCACTACAATAACTGTCCCCAACTAAGAGTGAGCATATATTTGGATAAAACTATTCATAGAGACATGCATATCGACGGTGAAACTACCAAACCACGTATCTCGTTTGCGGTGTTTAAAAATCTACGCTCACATTTTATTTTTTTGAAGTAGACCAAATCAATATCATTCCTAGAAATTTTCACGGAATTTTCTCCGCACAAAGAAGAAAATTCACAGAAATTTTCAAGACTGGATGTTAAGTAGTTTTTAATTTAAAAAATAAGGTATGACAGGAAATCTGCGACGTCGCAAACCGAGATACGTGGTTTGGTAGTTTCACCGTCGATATGCGGTTTGCAAGGAGGATGACGCATCTTCGGCTGTGGCTTTGGTTAAATATCTTGAATATGTTGATCTAACTTCCTCGATAGTGAATTTGTGAGGACTGATGAGCTTTGGTCAATTCGAGAGCTCATTGTCAGTGCATTTTGATGAGTAAGTGTGCAGAATGCAAGTAAGAGGAACACTAATTTATCCTTTGCAACGCGTGCTGTGGTTTATCTGCCTGCGAAACTTTGCGAGATGACGGAGAATGACGGAGAAAAGTAATTGAGAGAGTTGACAATTAAGAACTCGGAAAGTCGAAGACAGCTGTCAACTTTCACACTGGAAAAAAGAGTCTGTAAAAGTTTTCTTGGATGAGGAAAGTTGATTTTAATAGAATTATTTCAGCTGTTTTAGAGGAAAGTTTTTTTGTATCAGATGAGTTCGTTATTTACATTTACGGCAAAAATAATTTAATGCCTGATTGGCTTATGTAAACTTAGACCTTTTGGAAAGCTGAAAGTTGGAATTTACATAGGTACGGGGAAAATGGTGATCTCTAGAGTATGTCAAAAGTTTCTAAATATGGTCGATACTTCATCATATGCTACTTAAATTCTGATGAGATATCATTTTTGTCGTGATGCTTACTGTCTTTCAGTGGTCTATGGAAAAAAATTGGTTGAAAACTGTCTCGGGCTGCTTTTCAATGGAAATAATTCATTTTCTAATGGCAATTTTGTCTTAATTATGTCAGATTCTCTTTAAAATCATTTTTTCCGTGCTTTGCTGTCTAAACTCAAGATTTTGTCTATTTTTCCAGGGAAGTTTCGCCAACTGCAAAGCCCCATCTACAGCGCCACAAAAATTGGAGAGGGTGGTCGAAGTATGTCAAAACGAGATCAAGTTTGCTTTACTGCAAGGTATGTTCGAAATTTCTAGCCTTATACCAATGTCGAATTTCAGAATTTTATCGAACGTCACAGTTTGATAAAATCGTCTTTTTCCTGAAATTGTGCCAAAAATTTCTGTGACAGCTTTTTTATCCTAATGTAAACCGCTGGGGTCCTCCGAAATGAGAAAATAAAGTCAAGCTCAAGGTCAAATCTTTTGCACGAGTATCTACTTCAGGTTGAGAATTTCGGGGATATTGAAAAAAACCTAGAAGCGGTTAATCAGATTTTGGAGCAAGAATACATAGTCAGTGGATCATTTGACAATTTTAGAATTTTGGGACATTTCTTAAGAATTTCCATGCATTAGATCATGCCCTAGTGTGGCGGGTATTTGCGCAAAAATTTGAAGTAACTTGAAAAGTAGGTACATCAGGATATTTGCGATATTCATTCGGAGTTATTACAAAATAGTTCATGATCAAATTGTATGAAAAAAATACCTGACGTACTATGGCGTGATGTGACGTTCAGAAATCTGTAAGAAATGTCCTAAAGTCCAGAAATTATTGATTGATCGATCGATTATCGCATCGTTCTCCGACGTCCTGAAGATACTTCTTATGGTTCAAAATTATTGATTGATTTTTATAAATGATCGAATCTTTCTAAAAATATGTTAAGGCCACCTCAATATAAAGCGTATCTTATGTTGCAGAGGCTCTGAACCTGTTGGGTTTGGGCATCGCTGACGATGATAGTAGTGAAGAGGAGGAGCCTGTGAAGGAATCGAAGAATCGAACGGTAACGATTGCGCCGGCCAAAAGCAGACCCAAGAGAGACAGCTCCTTCTCCCAGGAAGAACGCCGAGTAGCAGGGGTGAGTTACCATCACTCCTACGTTCATGCCAGTGGCGTGGCGTGCTTAGCGACATATCGATTGATCTGCCATTGAAACCTATGGAAAAGGATCGATAAACAGGAGGTTCGCAACGAACACCTAAATTATCGATTCTTTATCTCAGCTTCAAATGGGGAAATATCGATAATCGATCATTCACGCCTCGCCACTGGTTCATGCCCTCAATTCATTGTCAAATGGCTTATTGCATGTGCCCCAAAATCGTGTCATACCGCATGATTATCGCGAGCCTGCCAAAAGATCGGCCCAGACTCTAAGTTTCCGTGTCCAGCATCGACGAAAACAGAAATCATCTAAACACAGCTCTAGATGAGGTTTTAATTTCACTATCATGCGTGTACCAACCTTTGCTGGGAAATCCCACCTGCGCAAGCTAGTCAAAACGGTGAACTTAGGAGGAGAATTTTCTGCCTCGATGGTGCATCCCATGATTTATTATTTCCAGATCCTTTACTTCCTGATACTATTACTCAGCGTCAGAATACTTTCGACTTGAAGATTCACCTAAAGTCCCAAAGATCGTTTACATGAATGGTTGGCTGCACAATTGCAAAGAAAGTATAATTTGGATGCTTTCATTTTAAGACGTCGCTTGAGATTCCTTATCTCAGAATCTACTTAAAAATACTTTGAACGTTTGGAGTCAAATGTACACACACAGAGGGAAATTTCAACACAAAAGTTCGGTTAATACGGGAAGTAAAACACAAAATAACCATAGCCTCTGGTTGATAATTTCAAGAGAAAACACCAGCTAGTTTTCTTGAAGAAATCTAATAAAAAACGAGTGGTTGATACCAATGCCACAATTACGGTAATGCATTTCCCTAGTCTCTCTATTGTTTTCTGCTCTAACTGCATTTACCGCAAACTGTACTAAAATCAACCCAAAATTTGTATATTTTTGTGTGTTTTGCTTCCTATAGTAATTAACCAAAAGTAACACAAGAGCACAAATATTTTTATTAGTGTTTAAATACTCTAGGGGACAATTCAAGCCAAGTTCTGAAAATCTGAAAATACCGATCCGAAAAACGCATATTTAGACGTGAGTGAAACTGCTCGAATTTTGAATGTCATTTAAAACCGCCTTCAAACCTGCTGAATGCAACAGTTTATACCCTGGGTTGATATCAATAGGTCGGTTGACGCCGCTGAATGTGACGTAATACGCGCCTAGCGCCCATCCAACGAAACTCGCCTTAGATTGAATGCCATCCTATACAAAGTTTGTACTATAAACATAAAAAAATGTGCCTTTTTACGTTGATTCAGAGCAATGCTGTAGGACCTCTTACGTTGCATTCTCAAACGCTTGGAAAAGTTTAAGAGAAATATTGAACCATGAAAAGGGTCCTTACACTTGAGATTTTATTACGGCACTGATTACAACCAAATCCTCAGGTCTAGATTCCAGTTACTGTCAAACGCCCGAAGTTAGTGACATAGATTTTAGAAGGTGATATTGGACTGAAAATATTAGTTGCAAATACAAGCATTCCTCAATTTACAAACATGTCAAATTAAAAATAATATAATTTAATTCCGAGAGATGAAATATCTTGACTAATATGACATTTTTAAAATAACACCTGCGTGCTTTCTCTGACTGCATCTTATAATCTTGTAATTATATTCAAATTCTCAAACAAATTCTGTATTTTTTCAGTGCTTACTGCAATGTGTCTACAGGAAAGTAAAGGCTGTAAGTATTCTAAAAAGTTATGAATACTTATTATCACTTTATGTCGCTATAGAGTAAGATTAATTAGTAACAAATATAACAAAAAACACAAAAGTGAACGATTCATTTCAGTTATCAAAAACTAGTTATGACGTTTCATATTTATTACTTTGCATTTTTCACTCCTTAATTTCAATTGAAATCTATTCAGTTTCCATTTGAGTCTTAACTTTTATTGTACTAGAGAGTGAGCACTCAAAGGCGAACTAGATGACACTTGAGTATGGCAGTACACTTTGATAAAATTGTGAATTCCTCAATATTTAGAGATGATATGTTTCCTTGAAAAAAATTTTGTAAAAACCTCTGAGCCAAAAGTGCAAAATGTAGAAATAGGAAGTCGATTGGGTTACTGCAGATACTTCTAGACCATTTTTTACTGGATAGCCAAATGAAGATTGGTTTCATGTTCAGCTTTTCCACCATCATTGAATTGAATGTAAAATAAATAAATAGATGCATGTTTTTATTTCCTTCGAAATAAGGTGGATGACACAGGTTTCCCTCAAGCTGAAGGCATGGTCCGACTTTACTCTGAAGGGGTTCAAGACAACAACTATTACTCGGCAACGGTTCAAGCGGTAGAACGATGTGTTAGTTTTGCTCAGGCGCTGAAACTGAAGCAGCCCAACCAAAAATTTGGTAAGCTCATTGTGATTACGTGACATTATGTATAAAATAAATCATTTGATTCAGTTCTAGGCATCGAAGACCGAGAAAATTTCTTTAGTTCCACTTCCAGCAGATCATTGGGAGGAAAAAAACATTATTTTCATGTTATTTAAATGATGTTCCTTCGAGCAAACAGTAAATCGATCTTTTGAGTAACGAGGTGGTAGAATATAGTGATGGATCCACACAATTTTTGAAGTATTTTCCGCAACACGCGAATACAATTTTAAAAATGAAAGATGTGTTTAGGAATATCATGGCCAGATTTACCTACTTGCCGCCCATGGGCCGCCTGTATTTTGCCGCCCTCTTCTCATTCGTTTTGAACCATCAATAAAAACCATCAAGTGAACGTGTCGGAGGGTAAAAGGTGCATCAGACGCGTTCACTCGTGTTGGACACATTTTTTGCGTAAGCCCTATCAACACTACTAGCAAAAGTTCACGGAACTTCGCGCGAAAGTTCAGTTCCGTAAATATATCTCTGTGTGGACAAGGCCTTTCATTTGTGAGAAATGAACTAAAAAATTAAGAAAGAACAAACATAAATGTGGTTTAATAATTTTAACGTCCGCCGTCGTGCCGTGTTGACCACACTGTGTTTGGCGCAATGCGTGCAGTATTCATGCAGTCTTGTAGGCACTGTGCGTTTCACGCCGCGCCGACCGCTGTTGACCGTACTGTGTTTGACGCAATGCGTGAAGTATTCATGCAGTCTCGTAGGTGCTAATATGTGTTACATGCCGACCGCCGCGTCGAGGGCTTCTCCTTTTTATCTCAAGTCCTCGTCATCATTTCTCTTTGCGCCGCGCCGCTCCAGGCCAAATTACGTGTTTGGTTTCTCTTTTAAGTCAACTAATTAAAGGTGCGCAGTCTTTTGTATGACCGAAATACGACAAAATTAGAAATTAATGAACTCTCAGGAAATGAGAGATTTTGTAACCTTTTCTTGTTTGTAATTTTTTTTCTGAATACGATTTTTTTGTACTTACATTTAAAAGAATTGCAAAATTTGCCGCCCCCTAATTTTGCCGTCATGGGCCGTGGCCCATGCGGCCACCCCCTTAATCCGGCCCTGGTTTATATAAGAATTACAAAACATATTAAACATGTTTTCCCAGCTTTTGTTTTTGCACGTCTTAATTCATGATTTTCGACATGTTTGATAATCTAATCTTTCTGATGTTTCAGCGAGCGGTCAAACGTGTGATTTAGCGTACGACATGTTCGAGTGCATCAGTGAAAAAATAGAGCGCGTAAGTAGTGTATTTTACCATTTTTTTGAAACACTAGGTAATGTTTGCTTGGTATTCTCTACGCAATTTTATCATGATTGAAAGTTTTAGAATTTGTCCGAAGAATCCTTCGATTTCATTTCACCTTATCAGTCACCTTACTCAATGAAATTATTTGATTGTATTGACAACTGATGATTGCCCTTATTCCATCAACATTTGATTCTGGTATGGTGCTTTGGTTGGTGCGCAAGTTAACCAAGATAAATTGTATATCGATGGTGAAACTGCAAATGCTTATCTCGGCCTGCGGCGGTGTAGACTTCCTGTCATACTTTCTTTCTTGCATAGGAAACTACCAAAAGTCATTTCTTTGAAACTTCAGGGGATCTTTTTTTTTGTTTGATTAATATTCTATGAAAAATTCTAGTCATAAGGTTGGTTGGGTCCTATTAAAAAAGTAAAGTATGAGCGGAGATTTTTGGACACTACAACTGAGATACACATTATGCATGTTTCTTTAAATTTTATTGCCTCTACAGCCAAATTTGAATGTAGGCCCGCTGGTAAAAAATCTGATCACACACATTTTTCTGAACCACTGACGATATGAGTCATTCAACACATGATTTAACCTGCAGCAAGAAAAATTGATCCTCGCACAACGAATGGTGCATGCAAAGTTACTGCATCGATACTTAATGCGTCAACCATTAAATCATGAAAAACAAATATTATTGTGAGTATATACCCAGTTGCATGTAGTATAATAGGACATACAAACATGGTGTATCAATACACAGTATATCCAAGAAGTATTCTGCAAATTATGATTTCGTGTTTATCTGATTCCAGGCTTGCGGTGGAGCTGCTCCCTGAAAATTTCCCGAACAACGAAATTTCATGTTTCTACCGAGCATTTTATAAGACTGTTTTGTACGAAGTTACCGCAAAAATGAAACTTTAGTTACCAAATCGAGGACGTGGGAAAGCTGTGTGACATTGTTTTCGGCAGTACAGCACATAATGCTCCTGGGTAGTTTTCCAGAGCATTAAAAGCTCAAAGACGTCCAAATATTGATATGAGTCAAGAATCTTGTGAAACCGTCAATTTAAGACACTGCAAATTCTACGATGTCTCAAAGAGACCTTTTATTTCTCCAAGGGCAAGGAAACAAGCCATGATCTGAAAAATTACGTCATTGGAACATGACTGTTGCTCAACAGTTTCGTGCGGTTTCTTAAATCGATCGAAGTTAAACTCGTCACTTTTTAGTCATTTTATGAGAAAGTAGAAAAATACCCTCTGTCACTTCAACCGCCAAGTGGGCATGTTTGAACATGAAAAAGGTTTTCATTGAGAGAATTGGACTACATTTTGCAATTAGGAACTATAAATTCCGGCCTGGTTTAAAAACAACGTATGTGCCATTAGTTTCCCTATGCACATAAGTGTTTTTTCAGATGAGCCAGAATTTATAGGTCCAAATTGCAAAATGCAGTCCAATTGATCCCTTCCGTAGAAAGTTTTCCATACTTCTTTTAAGTTGCAATAAGGATCAATATAAAGATTTCCTTTGTTTTGTGAATCTGTTTTTTTTCGTTCTAAAGTTTTAGAGCTCGGTTACGGTTAGGTTAAGTAAGGTTTAATTTAACCTTTGTAAATATAAATTCACGTGTCCAAGTCTTTCACTATTGAACATTTTATCAAAGATTAACCATTTGAGACGTCTGATTTCCCACTCATGTATGACTATTAAATGTGACATCGGAAGTGCTGAGGGATTATCCATTACTCATCAATATTTTTACTGTCCGTTGACAGACATTTTTCATTTAATCGTAACATTTATTATTGGAAAAGTTTACACCATTTGAGTTGAAACTCTCTCCAACTGCGACAGAGGATCAACCGTCTTCAATTAATTAAAACCGTTATATTTTGTCTCCCTGTAAAGTGTTTAAACTTATTATACTTAGCGTGGACTGTAAATGCGATTCTCAATTTGAAATCTTAAACATAATAATTTTCGACGAATTTTCCCTTTATAAGAGATGTTTTCAATTGCATAACTTCACGCAAAAAAACAAGTTCGTCATTGACTGAATGAAAAATGCTCAGCATGATGATTCCCTGTTCTCAATTCTAGTTTATCACTAATCCAAGTCACGTGTTCCTCATAAATCATGATCATTCTCTTCATCATTTAAATAAACATTTTCGTTATCGTAATTATCTTTATAATCATCGTCATCATCATCTTCATCACCATCATCATCTTCATCACCACCGTCATCATCATCATCATCATCATCATCATCATCATCATTATCATTTTCACCTTATTCATAGCGTGTCTTTTTTAATTATTAGTAGTTAATTTTATTTTTTACTCTCAATAAATTGACTAAAAACATAGTTTATTCCTTGTTTTTTTTTCATTTTATACAAATATTTTGAGCGCATGCTTTATTGAATTCCTAGAAGTAATATCTATGCTTCCCAGAAGCTGTAAAGACAAATTGCAATGCAGTATTCAAAGCAATTCGTAAACATATGTATAAAAATGAGACTCCAAAAACTGACAAATATGTTAAAAGAAGTTCAAAATATGCCACTGTTACTGTGCGTGACACACGTGAGAACCGAATGAACTTTATTATTGTTAGAGGTGCTAAAACTATGCTAATAAATGCTGTGAAAATGTAAGTTTTTTGGAAGCCGCAGAAACCGGTGCAATAGCTTTTTACCAAAAGGGAAGAGGTGATTTTAACGCCATATCATTTCGCCCTCAATTTCTAGCGTGGGCAACATGGGTGCCCACGTGGTCGAAGAGTGGTATCACAATAAATGTCACGCTTGTCCATGGCTTGATTGAAAAAAGTGTTAACATGTTTGCAAATACGTATTATCAACGCAGAGCTCATCTTCAATGGGAGTAGTTTTGATTAAATAAATTCCATCGATCCATGTCCTAGCTTTTAATTCGACTTAAGAATAATTGTTGAATTAGTTAGCAAGAAAATGGGCATTGCAAATCCGTCGAATTGTTTATGAGACACGATCATTAAAATACAAAAACTTGGGTAAAATACGACTGGCACTTTTCGATCGTTTCGTTCTAACAACAGAAATTGACAATATGTTGCTCAGTAACCACCTCGTCTGTTCTAGCGAGCTGATGGACGAGGTTGCTTGAGATTTTCTGAATTCTAAATCCACGACCCTCTTTCGGGCTTTTAGTCAATGTCAGACCAAATGAACTATGTCCTCATAAGCTGTCCGACGCTGAAACGGAAAAATCCAGTTTGACGAAATGAATGAAATAAACTATTTATATCGATCAAATCATGCATCGATTTGATCTATGTATTTCGTTGCGTTCAACCTAAAAGGAAAAAACATTAAATATTAGCTGAAAAACGAATGATTTTTACATTGGTAGTTGCTTTAAGTTCGGGTTATAGATTCAACCTACTAGACGTGAGTATCTAATACTGTTCATACTTACATCTCATGTCCCCATAAATCGCAGAAAATATTTGACAAAAATGTCCAACTCTTCCAAGTGCTTTTTTCATTTGATGACCTGCTACAGCCGCACAACCAGTAGCGGAAAGAAAACACCCCATTTCGAATTTTTTATGGAAAACTCTACAGGGTCCAGAAGAAGGCAATCACGGTGCTTTCATTCATGCTTCTAGTAACCCATTTCGTTTCAAATCCCTCTTTTAAGAGATGTGTCATGGGTATGAAACACCATTTGTTGGTATACAGTAAAACGAGCTATTAGAAGAGGTCCCACATAACACTATTGACTGAAACTACAAAGATGTTTGTTTGGTCACATTGTTAATTTCAAGGAGCATTACTGGAAGGAAATTTCACAAAGAAATAAATGGAACATCTCATGAATCTCTACGTTTTTCAGTGACAAAGATACTATTTAAAAAAATGTTCCAAATTATGTGCGGCCTCCCCACTGTGCGGCATAGGGAAAGGTCAGTTACGCGCGAAAGATGAGCAACTGCAGCGACTGTATTTTGGGAGTGAACTTTCGCGCTGGCTTGAGCCGCGATTTGCGAGCAAAGGTGCATACAGTTCGGCATGCCTGGGGGTATCCTGCATGCGTGCTGCACAGTGCACAATACTGCAGTGCTAAGGTAAAATGTCGTATGAACCTTTAGGCGTTGCCAAATTGCCTTCATTAAAATGCGAATTTCCTTGAAAACTTGCGGAAATTTTCCTCCCAATTTTTCACAGAATTTCATTTGCAATTCAATCTACGGTTCCTGAAAATTTGAAGGAAAAATATTCATAACGCTCCTTAAAAATTAACATTTTATCGGAGACAACTTGGCAACTCTCGAATGCTCATACGGCGTTCTTCCTCGGCCCGGCAGAGTGCACAATGCACATCCCGCGCGGCACAGGGCGACGCCGCGACACCACGACGCCCAACGCAGCGTGCGCAGCTGGAGGCTCCGTCAGGACGGCTACACTGCCGTGCTAGGGTTAAACGCCGTATGAACCTTCAGCCGTTGCCAAATTTCCTTTGATAAAACACTAATTACCCAGTAAACTTATGAATGTTTACCTTCCAACAGTGGCGTGGCGTGAATTGCTATATATCGATTGTTATGCCATTTAAACCTATGGAAGAGGATCGATAAATAGGGTGTTCGCAGCGAACACCTCAATAATCGATTCTTTACTATCGGTTGAAATGACATAACAATCGATCTATCGCAATTCACGCCACGCCACTGCCTTCCAACTTTTCAGATGATTTTGTTCGCAATTTTACCTGAAGTCCGTGAAAATTTCAAGGAAAAATATTTATAACCCTCCGCAAAAATAAACATTTTATTCGAGGAAATTTGACAACTCTCGAATGTTCATACGGCGTTCTTCCTTAGCACGGCAGTACAGCATTTGTCGTCTTCGCGTTGATCCGATCCTTCAGCTTTGCCGTGAAAAGTGTCAATAGTGTATTTCCATCGGAAAAAACACTAAAAAAATAACTTTTAAGAGTGGATCTGCAGATGGGCACAAGGGGTACAGATATTGCACTAGATTTTTCAAAGGTCAGAACGTCCTAAAATAACAAACAGTAAGTAAAAAATTCCCGAAGTCCACTGCTTCAGGTGAATATGCGCACTGAACTGGAAAAAACCACATTGGATCTAGAGTCCAGACTCTTAAAAACATCGACAAGAAAAAATAATCTTGATTCAATCAGATTTAAGCTTAAATCAAAGGAAAATCCGCTCAAATTAAGAAGCTGGGTTCTTGATTTAAGCTTAAATCTGATGGAATCAAGAGTACTTTTTCTTTTCGATGTTTTTAAGAGTCTGGACTCTAGACCCAATGTTTCTTTTTTCCAGTGTATTATCCGACGTTACCGTGTAAATGTAATGCAATTCGCTTAGTTTTAGTTTTGAACCATGTAGAAGAAGATAGATACAAGGAAATAATTGTAGTATTACATTATACTTAAATAAAATCCCCTCAAAAAAAGAAGAAAAAAAAAAGTTTCCAAAACGCAACGATTCCCCCAAGTGCGCGACAACCCGCTTAGTGTCACACGAATTCACAGCGCGGCCAACCGCTTAAGGTGCGATTCCGTCGTCGTCGGGATATGCGTGGGCCCGGCTGGAATTCCTGGCCCGCGAGGTGCGAATGCGAAAATGAGTAATAATAGAAAATTATGACAGGCCCCCTCCTCCTACCCNCCCCCCCCCCCCCCACGAATTTCATCCGTGGAAGAGGAGGATAAGACCCCGCGCGACGCATCGGGCAGCGTGCCACGGCTTCGTGAAAATAGCTAAATCCGCACCGCAAACCGCGCAGAAACAGCGTAACGTCGGTTATAAAATATCGCAAATGCGTGGTTTTTCGCCGAACTCGGCGTTCGCCCCGCTCCGCGTGGCCGGGCCGCGATCGCTCGCCCGGTGGAAAACTCGCTCAGTGCACGCCTCGCAGCGCGCAAGCTTTTCTGTTTTGCCTCCGCGTTCGCGATCCAAGAATTCGCAATTTTGCGAAAACGCACGCTTGGAATAGATAAATCGTGAATATTTCACGCAAGAATAAGTAGAAAACCGCATCGGTTTCGGCCTCTCGAGATTGGGGTTTCGGGAAATTGGTGTTGTGTGACGGATTTCGGCCCTAGGTCCCGTTTTCCGCGGCCAGTTTGCCGGCAGAGCAAGGGATTTGGTTGTTAAATATTTTTAATTGTAAGTACATGATTGAATTAGATTTTTTTAGGTTCATTTGTTGTCTTCCGCACAAAGGAATGTTACTACATTCCGATGTTGCAAAATCGGTTTCATTAGCTCAATGTTTATGGGAATATGACTGGAATACTGCCGTGCTAAGAAAGAACGCCATATGAACATTTGGGAGTTGCCAAATTTCCTTCGATAAAACGTTTATATTTTTTGAGAAGTTATGAATATTTTTCGTTGAAATTTTCAGGAACTTCAGGAGAAATTGCGGACAAAATTATCCGGAAAATTGGGAGGAAAATATTCACAAGCTTACTAGGATATTCGTGTTTTATCAAAGGAAATTTGGCAACGCCTGGAAGTTTATACGACGTTTTTTCTTAGCACGGCAGAATATACGTTCAAACACCGAAATGAAGTTACATCATTTTTCCTTCTTGATTCTGGGAAACAGTGAGTTGGGTGCATTTAGAATTTATACTTAAAATTAATGGAGTTTTTGCTGAAAACTTCCTGCAAACGGATTTCGGTTGTCACGAAATGAATTGATTACTTTTGGGTATGAGTGTCGTCCGAGATTGTTTCAAAAGTCCTGAGAAGAACTTCAAATCCGTAGATTACGTTGGTCAAATTATAAAACTGCACGAGGAAAAATTTGAATAGAGTATGGAAAAATATAGGTAATAAACTCCTGTGCTTTTCGCCGGTTTGCTACTAAACCAATATATAGTCATTCTAAAAGTCCCTTATTCTACACTATAGACCTGATTACCTGCATCGAAGTTCAGTTCGGAAAATTTCAGATACCTGGACTGAAAACTAAGAATGAAGTTCAGTCCTCATTACGGAAGTTTTTGCTCTCTATAAAGGACACCCTTTTCTTTCATCGCGAGTGAGTTGATAATTGGTCAGTTGCGCTAATCGTAAAATCGTATTTGGGTGTTTAAAGGCTATCGATTGGCAAAAAGTATAATAAGATCTCTGCGAGTGCCAGGTTTCTTATCCCAACCTTAACGGTGATATCACTCATCGACAAACACGGCATTATGATGCCATCCGCCGTGGTAGGTTACTATAATTTCTTCCACATTGGTTTCATCATTCATCATCAATACGTTCACACAATTGCTCTGATTGCTCAACGTAGAAGACGGATGAATTCTAGGGGAAAGGAACCACGTTACGCACTACCGCGGTGGATGAAATCATAGGTTATGTCTTTCGACGGGTGATACCTCCGTTAATATCGGTTGTAGAGCATCGAGTTTGAACACGTCTTGTTATTTTTCGCTGGTCTTAAAACTTCGATCTTTTAAACATGATTCTGTGGCTATAGCGCACAGTGGATCGAGTCGATGAAAGAGCTCGGACAAAGTTTGGAAACTTTAAAAGCTTAAAACTTCGTTTATACAAAATGTTTAAGCTGAAGTCGTTCCATTGGTTTCCTCGTGAAATTTGCCTCTTCAACCACCCCTTAAAATTTAATAGGTGATGATACATATATAAACATTAAAATTTGCTGTTTTAGTCAAAAATGTCATGTCCGACCTCTCTCATTGACTATCCAGAGTGTGGCGCGACTAAATGGATTGCATTTTGCAAAGGGGAACTATAGGAACATTGCCATGTTTCTAAGACTGTGCAGCTCCACCCTTAGCAATAAAGCTACTGCAACCATGCAAATATATTATATGGAATTCACATGGGAATTTTTTTCTTAAATTTACAGTTTTTCGCGTGTAAAATAGAAATTATTTATAGATGATCAGGTTTTTCCTCCATCAAGACATAAGAAGTTGCACAATTCCACATGGAGAGAAAAACTTCGTGCGTGGGACCCGAAGTTGAGGTCATATGGATCTCTAAAGTTTTCGGATCACGTATCTAAAAACTTGAGGTCCAGCTGCCGAAGTTAGGGTTAGACATCTGAAGTACTTCGATATGTACCGAAGGGTTCGGGTCACACATCTGAAGCACTCTAGCACATACCGAAGTACCTCGATGTCTGACCCGAACTTCGGCAGCTGGACCTCGAGTTTTTAGATACGTGATCCGTAAACTTCAGAGATTCATATGACCTCAACTTCGGGTCCAACGCACGAAGTTTTTTTCTCCGTGCAGCAACATTACAATGATCTTGGTTCCTTTTTCAAAATGCGATCCAAATTATTCATCCAGAGTTTCGACTGGGAGCACTGCGGACGCATTCCGTGGGTTTTAGAATGGTTTGTTGGGGACAAGTGGCTGCGTCGGACAGGTAGAGAATTGAGACGATTGGAAGCGTACACCGGGTGCAAGTAGGAAGTCAATCCTACGTCGCCGAGCCGAGTAAATACGTTGGGTGCCAAAGCGTATTAGCCGCGACCGGTGGTGGATTCGAGCCAGCGCGCGTCTTTCACCGGGGGTTTTTTTAGAATGAAAACAAAGGGACACGACTGAGCGCAAGGCACCCGAAAATCTAAATAAGCCTCGTCAGGCACCAAAGTAAACCATCAGAAGTACCTAATTACGTTACGCCACTACGTGACGAGGGATAGCTTTCGCTTGCGCGACAATTGGGCGGTAATAATAGGGTTCTGAACGAGTAGAATGGAGATGTTGCAAGTGTGAGGGATTTGCGATTTGACCATTGATTCTTATGTAAAAGTTCGCGAGAAATACGATGGTGCCACTGGTTTTCTCTGAAATCATCTCCCAAGCTATAAAAAAGCTCTCAAAAAGAGGCCAAAATGGAGGGGATATCCCACCCTACCCTGAGAGTCCACCTCTACATCAAAACACACTCTCCATGCAAAGATAGGGAGCAAATACATTAGCAGTGATGCCGTGTTTTCAGTTTTGGAGTCCCTAAATAAAATGGCAGCCCTGTCAATGTATTTGCTCCCTATCTTTGCATGGAGAGTTTGTCTTGATGTAGAGGTGGACTCTCAGGATAGCGTGGGATATCCCCTCCATTTTGGTCTCAACTTGAGAGCTTTTTTTGAGCTTGGGAGTTAATTTCAGAGAAAACCAGTGGCACCATCGTGTTTCTCACGAGCTGTTATTTTATAATCAACAGTCAAATCGCAAATTCCTCACACATGCAACATCTCCATTGGGCGGTAATAATAGGGTCCTGAACGGGTAGAATTCTCGGCCGAGAATGAGAGTTTGAAACAGGCCCATTGCGAGGGGCGCAACATTTACGAACTCGCGGGACGTTCCAACCCTGCACTAAGAAAAAACTATGGTCATAATTACCATATTAGTGGTGTTCAATATGCACTCTTGTTAGTAGTGGCCACAACCAATAATAGTGATATTTTTACCGGAGCAATCGTAATTTTACAAGTGTGCGGTAGTAAAATTACCATTTAATGGTAAAAATATCTCTATTATTGGTTATGGCAACTACTGATTAAGAGTTCATATTGACCACCGCTAATATGATAATTATAACCATATTTTTTTCTCAGTGCGGACTGCGGGTCGATTATTGAATCGTTATCGAATGAACTCGATCGATAGATTCCTATCTTAGCAATGCTTTTTATCGATCAAGGTCATTCGATAACGAGTCAACAATCGAAGCGCTGTCGAGTTACCGAAGAGAGCATCAGTAAGTGCAAAAATAAAGTTTTGAGAAAATGAACTTGGGGGCGTCGGAGCGGAAAAGTTATTGAAATCCTTCGTTCGACGAAATTTTCTGAGCGAAGATTACTGAAACCAAATCCTAACTAAGATAGAAACTGTTTTGGTTTACATTGGTTACGGGATTTTGCATTCCCACTCCGAAGAAAAACAATGGTCTACTTGAGTCAAAATCGCGTACTACAATGGTTTTGGCAGGTTACTTATGCACAGAGACAAGAGACCCTCCACTGGCCTCCTAGCGACAGGTGGAAGATTTTACTTTCGGGGATTCAACAGTTCCTTATGGACAATTATTAGGGAGCAACAGTCATCACCTCAATTTCGGCTGTTGACCTACCTACATGGTCAATGATGAGCTTTTGGTGACGTCATGAGCCAAACAAGTTTCGCAAACTTCGACCATTTTCGATTTGTTTGCGAAACGAAACTGCCATCACGTTGTTAAACATCAACCATGTAGGTAAGTCAACAGTAGAATGCTGAAGTCCCGAAAGTAAAAGCTTCCACAATGGTCAAGATACTAGTGGAGGGTCTCTTGTCTCTGCTTATGCAATAGAAACGATGTTTTCAAAGTGGTGACATTTTGCAACAGCTGATCCGAAGTACCGAGATTGCGGTTGTCACATTTTCATACTGCAGAGATTGTTACGGTAACGTTTAGTGCGCAATTTGACTCATTTGGACTTTTGCGGGACTCATGTGCGGGAAGTTTGACGTTATATACGCATCAAAAAATGTTGGATATCTTAAGGTCGGAAGTTTTTTCGGGAATTTTCGTAGCACAAATCGTGTTAAATTTGAAATATTGATGAGGTATCCGAAATAAGCGCACGATACTCGAAATGTACCTTTCTATCCTTGATGTTTTAGTATTTTTATTGCTTTTAACATATTCAAAGAGATAATAAACAAATTGGACCGCGCTTAGCAGAAAGAGATCAAGCCACATCAGCTATTGCCAAATTTTACCGGGGGACATAATTTTTTACTAGACGACGGTTGTGCGGATTCCTCCAAAAATTTTAAGGAATTTAATTAGCACCATGCAGAAAATACACTGAAATTTGCACATTAATCCGCACAACCGTTTTCATGTAAAAAATTAAATCGCCCAGTTAAAATTTGCAGCAGCTGATGTTACTTGGTTCCTTTCTGCTTAACGCAGCTCAATTGGATTACATTTTGCGATAAGGAACCACTATCTCTGGCCCTCCCATAAAAGCACATATCTGCGCAGGGAAACCAATGGCATGTATGCTGTTTCTTAAATGGGCCAGAAATAGTGGCTCCTTATTGCAAAATGTGATCCAATTGTGCTTCAAAAACAGATAATACATACGAGTATAGTGGGACCATACTTGTATGAATATGGTATAAATGAAGTTGTTTTTGGTTGATTCTTTTGGAAGGTTTATGTGTATTAACACAACTACCATACTGCAGTAATGAGATTTTTCGATTAAGATTTAAACGATGAGCAGCATTTAAAATTGATTTACCATTGGTTTCAGGCGCCTCGGTAAAAACTCACCCATAACCATGATTAAAGTTGACGAAAACGATCCAATTGGAGGTAAGATGCATTTAAAAGATCACGAGTTTTCGCGTGTTGATAAAACGAGTTCTCGCAATTTTGATTTTTTCATTATTAACCACGTCACCGAACAAAATGTGTTGGATGTCGTGCGTATTGAGTTTGCTATGATGCATTGGTATGACTGATGAATATTGAAATAGATTTTTCAGATGTTCACTTTCAACTTGAGATTAAACTCTTAGTCAAACTAACGACAGAGTTTTTCATTTTTGGTCCTCATAATTGCATGCCAGTTTGAGGAAATTTCGAGTATGCGCTTCTAACACTCCTAACAACAAATTGCACCTTTGGTTTTGTGTTTTGCTTTTTTTTGCCTCAGTTATACGTCCCGTATGTATACAGTCACTTCAATGATTTTACGCAAAATAAAAACTCCCTCAAAAGTGTTACATATCACACATTCATAGATGGAAAATTTTGAAGAGCTTAATGAAACTAGAAAAATTATTGAATGACACATTTCCTGTGTTGTTTTGCTCATCTCCCACGAAGCAAACGGGATCTTGGTACTAAGCTTTATTTATTCAGAGTACATTAGAATGGGTAAAAAAAGAGGAGCCCACCGGCTAAAAATCCACCTCTTAATTTGAATTTTGGTGTGACGCGCAGGAAACCCCTCGGTAGCACTACTTCGGCAAGTTGTCTGGGATTTAAATATTTTTTCTTCAAGTCTAGGACACGCTCGATAAACCTGTGTACACTATTCCATTTTTCCTTTGTCTCGAACATTTGTCCTGAAGATCCAATTATTTATTTTTTATTTTTTTGGGCGCACTGGATGACTTCTTTCAAACAAATGGGTTCATTTGTAAATGGATTTACTCATCGTGTGTTTTGGCTCAGAACAGGAATGCGGAACAAAATTTTTGGTTCTGCGCCATGGTGTGAGGAAATTAATAATGATCATTAGTTCATTACTCTCTCCAACTTGCCATTTCAGATTTTAGTGACTGCAAGTGCACATAGATTCAGGCCGTGTACGAACGTTTTACCTAAAGTAGGGATGCTCTGAAGTGGCTTCAGTGTATTAAATGATTTATACCTACAACATCGAGATGAAAGAGCACGTTTTTCCTTGTTAGATTTAAATCAAATCATGCACTATGTGTACTTTTTCGAGAGATTAACAAGCTGACCAACTGAGAGAGGCAAATAAAACATCAAAATTAATCTTGATTACTCATACTCATGGGAATATGTGCAAGAAACAGATGAGTAAGTAAAGAGTTTATTTCTGTTTGGCCTGATTATTTAGCGTTCCATGGACCGGTCTCATGTTCAGACGCACTCTTCAAACTTTTTTACATAAATTTTTGTTAAAATTTTGTCATGATATTTTTCCAACGCCCAAGGTTAGAATTAAAAAACAAAACGACCTGCAGTAAAATACTTCTTTTCCCCTACTTACTGCAGTGCTCTCTCTCCCTTAGCATGGAAGTTTTGAACAGATTCTTCCTCTCAGTTACTCTCAAAGGCCGTTCCGTAAATTCATAAGCATATTTGATAATTTGAATTTTGCGCGGAGCATAACAACAATCTTAGAATACCGTGATGAGAGAAGAAAATTCAAGATCACGAAAGAACGCCGCTCGAAATAAACTGTGGGTCAGCTTGAGGACGGGGAATTTCATTCATGTCAGCGTATGAGAATTTGTAAAAATTGGTTCCACTGTGCCTCCATTGATTTAATCTCCTACGGCGTATACGATTCACAAGCCAAGGTACATTGTTGTGGGTGACACTTTAATCCGCTTCGCCATGGAGTCAATTCTAAGACCGTGAAACAATGAAATTTTTGGCAGAGATGTAACGCTGAAGTGCTGAAGAGATTCTGCGAGGTCCTCCCCCGAGACCACATCAAACAGTGTCCCGTCCTAGCCTTGACTTTAAATTAAGCGTATTTGAGTGATTCGGGTATTTTTGAAACATGACTATGTTCTGTGAGAGCATTTAAACCACAATTGTCCATCCACGCCACACGAGGGGTTTTTTTTTTGGGGGGGGGCGACTAACGAACTCTGGAAAAGTGTCTGTCAACAAAGCCGTCGTATTTCACATGCAGTGTATATCGTAAGAGTATACGGTCAGATCACAAACTTTTGGCAACTGAAGCGCCAACCATCGGTGATGGTATTAGTGAAAGAGTATCGGTTCAAAAAAAGCTTTTCGTGTGCACGTTATGGTGGCAAGTGTCAACATTGTCTTAATCCCTTCATTTGGTTGTTTAAAAAAGAGAACAAAAGTTGACAGGCTCAAGTTCCCGTCAAATGCCCCAAATTCAAATTGGCAGCCTGTGGGCTCAGGGACTGGACATATTTAATTTTGTGCTCGATCTCGAAATAGATACCTATTTTATGTAAATTTGGTCGAAGATTCCGAATCCGAGGTTTAAAATCCAAAAGGACGCCTCGAATCCAAGATGACCGTCAAAATTGAAATTGCCAATCGTTGCCCAATACAAAGCCCGGAAAAATTTGAAGACTCCGTTGAAAAAACTTTTTTCTTACGTTAAGAGAAAAATGTTAGGACTGATAAAATGTCCCGGCTCGGAAATAAGTATCTAAATCGTTATTTTATAATGCGTTTGTGACTACTTTCAGTTTTACGATAGGAACAAGTCAACTTCATTGCTTGACATTTGTACAACATTTTCATAAACAAAGCGGCAATATCACGGGAATTTTGAGGAAATTAGTAAATCGAAACATTGAAATATAGTCAATTGAAAGATGAAGTCGGAGTTTAGGAATATTTATATCATCCCTCACTCGAAATAATCGGCGCGTGAGCTTGAATACCCCTTCAATTCAAAGGTTATGCAATGAGAGATGTATATAGAGATCGATATACTTTGTAGCTTGCTTTTTTCACTTAGTCACTCAGAGGTTTTTAACCGAGACTCCGTGTTCTCCACTGAGAGAAAGAGGCGAATTTTGACCCGTAAAGATCACGATTCGAGCACTGCGTGTGCGGCGCGGTGGTGGTCGAAGATGACATTGGGCAGGAAAAATTGTGCCAATTAATTAATAAAACAACAAATCATGACCCCGAGACGCTCCGCGTCTGGCCGAGTTTCCAGACCCCCGAATCCCCACTCGCATTCCCGGGGGCTCCCTCGATTCTCGTTTTTTTTTTTTTCTTTTTTTTTTTTCATCACGATGATCTTGACTCAGTCGAAAAGAACATACGAGTTTTGTCAATGTCATCGAGTGAAACCGTCTCACTGTTTCCCTCCTACTCCTATCGAGAAGCGGTGGCGATTCTGGTTCATTTGCAACGCTGTTTTCCCTCCATTAAAATGTATTTAAAACAATCGATTCTAAGTGAGGAAATCTGTCTCACCTGCGGGCCGATTATTGGAATTTATAGACAAAGCTATAGACAAAGAAGACATAAGAAGTATAGGGCGATCATATTAGTTGAAATGGGTGATTCTTATAGACTAAAGGGGTAAATAATTGACTAACTGGACGTATTTTTATCAAACGAAACTAAGCGCCAATTTGAGTTCCTTTTGAGGAATTTAGAATCCCGGATAGCGTGTTCTGTCAAACGGACCTAAGCGCCATGGAAAAGCATTGCGAGTATAGGACGAAATAAGCCGAACGCCCGATTCCGCCGCCAATCCAAGCCCCCCTCTAACTTCCTCACCCTATGGCGCTTAGGTCCGTTTGATAGAAATACGTCCAACTATCGGGTCTCTCGTGGGTTGCCGTTAGTTAGTCTATCGCCTACGTCCTTTGTTCATTGCAACCACCCGCTTCCACCAATAAGATCCCTCCATATCCTTTTTGTCTTCTTTGTCTATTGCTTTGTCTATCAATTTCAATAATCAGCCCGCTGGATTTAAATGAAGGGAAAACAAAGTTGCCACCATTGTAAAATAGCAACCGTCGGGAGCGTATGCATATTCTGCCGTGCTAAGGAAAAACGCCGTATGAGCCTTCAGGCGTTGCCAAATTCCCTCTGGCAAACCACTAATTTTCAGGAAAGTTTTTGAATATTTCCCTGCCAATTTTTCAGATAAATTTGTTTGTAATTTGATCCAAAGTGTTTGAAAATTTCAAGGATAAATATTCATGATTTTCCTTAGAAATAAACATTTGATATGAGAAAATTTGGCAACTCTCGAATGTTCATATACGGCGTTCTTCCTTAGCACGGCAGTATTCGGTTCTCGCCCCTGCAATCTTCCGAAAAGAAAACTCAGTTACTGTATTTCAAATTATTTTAATTTTTTCTGGAAAAAAACGACCGGTTAAAAAAACCAGCTAGCTTTCATCCTAGAAATTTTACAGTGATTGTTACGTAGAATGGAACCGTTACACTGGTAACCTACGACTGTAGAGTGAACTCGCTCATGTAAACTTTTGTGAGCACTGGTTTCGCGACACTGTCACTGGTTTTTTTTTTTTTGGCGCGTATACGTAGTATACCGCCTTTGCGATCGTTTCGACCCCCCCCTCGATACAATAACCGAGTCCCCTAGTTCCTTACCGAAAAGTGACTACCGCGAACTTCTGAGATTTTCCAAAGCGTGTAAAAAGTTTACTAATCCGTCAATAATAATGATTAAAATTTGTTTCTCATTCTGGGGCTCGCTAGTTTATGTGTAATGAATACCAAGAGTCTACGTTTCTTGGTTTTTTTTAAAAAAA